GAATGATTTGGTGCAAAATGATTAAGTGGTCAGAATATTAAGAGCCATGATATAGTGCAAAAAAAAAATATAATTGTTTGTAATTGTATACAATGAAATTAGGGCTCTTAATGGTTAAGAGAGATCTAGGATACAAAATCATTCAGAGGGTTTTAGAACCATTAAGAGGCTGACTTTTTTTTGTCAAACAAGATTCACCTCTTAACGATTCAGAGGTTGCCTTTTAATGAAACTATTAAGATGTAAACAAACAACCCCTTGTATTTAAGCCTTTTAATGTAATATTTTATTAAAAAATGTCATATCTAAAAATTTTACAATATATTTATAGGACATTTTTGAATGTTTTAACAAGCTTTTTAAAAACTTTTAAAATAAAATGTCGAAGTAGTTGATACGACATTTTATTTCAAAAACATCTTTAAAAAATTGTTAAAACGCCTAAAAGAGTCCTGTAAGTCCAGTGTAACACTTTTAGATGTGTTGTTTTATAGTTTAGTCTATAAACTTAGGTTTTATTAATTATTTATTAAGACGGTTAGTAATTTTAAGCGTCCTATAAATCCAATTTTGTTGTAGTAACCAATAAAAGACAGTTTTCTATTAAGACAAAAAAAAAAACCAATATGTGAATCCAAATTTTTTAAAATGACATCAGTTACATTATATTTTATTAATTGATATTGTTATCTTATTTTTTCTAGAATTTCTGAAACAAACATTTCCGAGTATGATATTATATCATAATAACTACGTAATATGGTAGATTTGGTTAATACGTCATCATGGCATTTATTATGAAAGAGCTAGCTCGTCACAAAAGACGCAATAGTCATGAATAAGAGAATTGGATATTGTGTTGGGTTGTACACCTTATGTCTTCGATTACTATATATAACACATAAAAAGTCTAAAAAATGTTTCGTTGTTTAAACCGAATGTTGTTCATTGCTCATTATCAAACAACTTAGAGTAGAGGGTCTGGTCAAGCCTAGTCCAAGTCCCGGTTAAGCCTGATCACAATCCATTTTGGTTACGATATTTATCAAGGCCGGCCTAACTGAATTATTTTTCTGTGTGCAACAAATGTAAAATTTAATTGTAAACATAAAATTAAATTATTATTTTTTTATGATTTCTAAAAAAAATTAATATTATTTGTTTTGACAATTTTGGAATTATATAAGATTAAAGGAACCTTGTGAGAATTACATCATAGGCTTAAAAATGAACCTTTGTGGCCATAAGGGGATATTTTATTCCTGTTTAGATTCAAACTTGAAACCTCTAGACACTTTTGATATTTGGAGCTCAAGCTTAAACCAATCAGACACCATTCTTGTGTGATATCATAAACGATGGAAAAACAAATGACAATTCAAGAAGTGTCACTTTCCTATATTAAAAAAAGATATCCGGAAAGATAATGAAGAGGAGATGGGTCGTGGTTTATCATCTCTTGAGTGATAGTGACGTTAAAATAATGACTATTCAACATTCGAGGTATTCTTGTACAAAGGTGCAATAATCAATCCCTAATAAGTAGCATGTGATATTGGATGTGTTTTATATGCATATCAAGTCTTAAGGCCAATGATCTAAAAAAACACATTTTAAGCGGCAACCAAGACGTTGTAAGTAGAGACTAGAGTAAGGGGTTGTTTGGTAGTTGCTGAATAATTTGGTGCAGAATGATTAAATGATCAAAATGATTAAGAGGCTCTCATGGTATAGTTCAAAATGAAATATAATTGTTTGGTAACTATTTACAATGAAATTAGGGCGCTGAATCGTTAAGGGAGGCCTAGGATACAAAATCATTCAGAGGGTTTTGGAACCATTAAGAGGTATGCTCTTTTTTTGCCAAACAAGATTTACCTCTTAACGATTCAGAGTCTGCCTCTTATTGTGTTGATCTTGTAACATATGATGGCATCATGATATATCAGTTTACAAAATGTTTATGCAATATTTATTAAAGGATATGACGAAATGGAAGATAAACTTGGCACTAAAACGTCCTATAAATCTAGTGCACTCTTAATTACATAAGGCACACAAATGTTCGGTCCTATAAACCCAACACTACTAAAAAACCGACTATTTCCAACGGAATACCGACAGATGTTAAAAAAGTCAACTTTCGTTGACTTCCGTCGGTAATCCGCCACTAACTACTTAGATAAAATAAAAAAATTTATTTCGGTAAGATTTCCGGTGGATTTCCGACGGATATCTAAGAATTAGAATTTTGAAGATTAATTAACTTTAATTACATTATTTACCGGTGGATTTTTTATTAAAAAAAAAACTCTGTCGGTAATCCGCCAGTAAAATAATGTAATTAAAGTTTAAAAAAAATATTGGAAAAAAATATAAATACGTATTTCTGCTAGAAATCTTGGCAGGCTCTAAATCGTTAAGAGGTGAATCTTGTTTGACAAAAAAWRAGTATGCCTCTTAATGGTTTCAAAACCCTCTTAATGATTTTGTATCTTAGGCCTCCTTAACGATTCAGCGCCTTAATTTCATTGTAAACAGCTACCAAACATTTATATTTTATTTTGAACTATATCATGAGAGCCTCTTAATCATTCTGATCACTTAATCATTTTATACCAAATTATTCAACAACTGCCAAACAACCCCGTAGTTTTTCGAAAGAATCTCATACGAATTTATTGTATTATATTAACAATTTTATCAGGTTTAACAGTTAAAGCTTTACTTCCTGTAAATCTATTTTGTGATAATAAGTCAGCAATACAAATTGCTAATAATCCAGTTTTTCATGAACGCACTAAGCATGTCGAAATTGATATTCATCAAGTTCGTGAAAAGGTTAGTATGGGTGTTTTAAAGATTGTTAAAGTTATTTCTACAGAACAACATGCAAATAAATTTACTAAAGCTCTTGGTCTTAATCAACACAACTTCTTGTGTAGATAGCTGAGGTTGATTGATTTGTTTAAATGTCAAGATTGAGGATGGATGTTGAAATGTATATATTTTTCAATCTTGACATTTACAAGGTTTAATTAGTTGTATTTTGACAGGTTAATGTAGATAAGATTGACATTGATATGGGAAACTAAGGGGCTGTTTGGATCATGGGAATTGAAAAGAATTGGAATGTCCAATCCTTTGACCAAATTTCAAATAGAGTGTTTGGTTCATGGAATAAGACTATGGAATCCTTTCAATTCCAGTCGATTCCTTCACGCACAGATTTTACAATTCCATGACAATATGCTAGGATTTCAATTCCTTTCCTACAGATCCGTTCCCTAATCCAATTCCGTTAAGAATTCCATTCCAATTCCATGCAACCAAATGCAATCACAAGGCATGATCAAATTCTATCAGATTCCATTCAATTCCCTCAAAGTCAAATTCATTTGATGAATTCCATTCTACGAACCAAACATCCCCTAAGAGGATTGAGCTATACATGTTGTGGAAGTAGAGGTTAGCAAAGCAGTTATGGTCGAAGTTGAAGGGAGTAATATGCAACTTCTTGTTATATAAAAGATTTTGATATTTTAGGTTTTTTTAATAGACTTAAAGAAAATTCTACACATCGTTTTCTTCTTTCTAGAGAGCATAGCTTTTAGGGTTTTGATATCTTTGGTTGCTTGTAATCTTTTAATAGTTTTTTAGGAGACGAAATACAATGAGTCTATGAATTCAAACAGTTTGTTATAAACCTATTTTTTTTATTAACCTGGATATTTAATCTGCTATACAAGCCGATTAATCTCAGGGCGACCATCTGTTTTGCGGGTAGCTCGGAGTCATCGCAATTGAACATCCGTGGCCACAAGAGATTTTTATTCCTCCTTAGATTTGAATCTAGGACCTCCAGACACTTTTGATTTTTCGAGCCCAAATTCAAACCAATCGGGCATCACCCTTGTGGTTTAAACCATTCTTTTTACAGAACATTGGTTTTTACAAGACACTTTTTAAAATAGTTTTCTATAAAAATTGCTAATGCGACACTTTATATTAAAAGTATCCTAAAAAACTATGTTAAGACGTTCAATAACGTCTTATAAACTTATTTACAACACCTTTAGATATGACCTTTTATTTTTTGGTCATATAATTTGAGTCTTATAAAATAGTCTAACAGAACACTTTAAAATTGATGAAATTCTATAAATCCAATTTATTGTATTGTTATTAGTCGTGATAAAGGGGACAAGCTTTGAACACTTTGACACATCATAAGCAAACAACCAAACATAATTAGTACACGTTTACTAAGTCTAAAAATCATGATAATATAGAGTCAAGCATGGTAATAAAACCTTTAGATGCATATATACTAATTAAATTGTTACAAAACGTCTTTAAGAGAGTGTTTATTTGAAACAACTTATGATTTTCTACAAAATCATTTATCAACTTATTATAAGTCAGAAGGATTTAACTTCTTCAAAAACTTCTTCTTACCAGTTTGGCACACTGGTATAAGTTGTTTATCTAAACATTCAAAAATGCTTATTACTGGTGCCACACCGGAATAAGTCAATAAGTTGTTTTTATAATCAATCTCAAACACCCCTCAGTTTGTACCTAGCAACGATTTATGAAATATTTATATATCATAACTTTTAACTATATATGACAACATAACTTTATTAAGTAAC